CTTACTGCCTCAGGCTCTTGAGTGTTGGGATTATGGGATGGCTGTGCTTAGATTTTTAGGATGGGCCTGGGAATTGAACCCAAGCTTCCCACGAGGCCTCAGCCTGCTGAGCAGCAACATCCCATGTATCTTATCATAGTTGTGCCAATATGTTTTTGTTGTTGTTGTTATTATAAGCTAGTTGTTTTTAGTGTCTAGACAGATTTTATTTCTACCACCTAAGACTGACTTTAGAAAGAAATTATTTTATATTTCAATGAATACACACACTACAAACTCAGTGATTATTATTTTAAATAGAAGAATATACTGGACCTGCCCATACGGTACAGTGACTAAGCCCTGTGCATGAGAGCTGGAACCCACATTGCCAACTGTGGTTTGAATCCCAGACCCAGTGGCTTTAAAAACATGCGAGGCATGTGTTTGTGCATGCGCCAAATCCTGGTGGGATAGAGAAATGGAGGAGAACAGACTGCTGTAACTATGCCCCACGCCCCATTGAGGGGGTCTCTCTCTCTTACTCTCTCTCATGAGTGTGTGTGCACCCTGGCAAAAAATTAAAAAATTAAATTAAATGGAGAAGAAGAAAATACTGCCAAGTTTATCATACGTGATGGTTATGCTAATATATAAACACTCTGGAAATCTTTAAATCATTCAGAATGATATTCCTCCAGTCCAGTAATAGTTTAATTAAAAAGAATTATGAAGTAAATCATTTAAATGTTGGGGCTGGCCAATGGAGCAGCAGTTAAATAAGATGCTCTGCGAGGCTCACCTGCCTGGGAAGTTCCAGGGTCATGTCCAGAGATCTGTCTGAGTGTGCAGTGGACACGTAGATCTTGTTATCAGGACCCTGTTGGGGATCTCTCTCTCTCTCTCTCATAAAAGAGATAAACAAAATTCTTTTAAAAATCTCTATTTTCCTGGGTCGCCCTGTAGCTTTATGGCTGTGGAAGCCACTGTCTATGTAACCAAATGCATTAGAATCCCATTCCAGTGGTTTGACAAACCAATGCTAGGTTTGGTCTGGTGGATGGCATGGAGGTTAAGGTGCTGGACTCCCACGTGGTCAACCACAGTTCAAGTCCTGGTCCTGGTGGCTTGCTTTCTCACTTTCTCTTTCTGGTCAAATTGAAAAATAATAATGATAAATAAAATGAAATAAAAAATATTTTAATAAAAGAGAAACATACCAGGTTCATGTGTGTACATGCCCCAAATCCTATCAGGATGGAGAAATGGAAGAGAAGGGATTACAGTCTGACTGCACCCCATTGTGGGGGTGCTTTGCTTTCTTTGGCAAACACACATGACCTGTATCTATTTTCCTTTCTTTCTCCTTTATTCACATTGTTTTTAATTTGCCAGAAGGCACATGTGCTCACCTGAGAGTGACAGACAGAAAGAGAGAAAAAGAGGAAGAGAGAGGAGAAAGCACCCCCAGTGGGGCATGGTCACGCCACAATCTCTTCTCTTTCATCTCTCCCTCCTCTTGGGATTTTGGGCACACACACACATATGTGTCCGACATGTTCCTGAAGACGTCGGATCCAGAACTCAAACTGCATATGAGGGATCCAGCCGTCTTAATCACCATGTAGGATAGGGAGATTTCAAATTTAAAGTATTTCTTGATGGTATCTGTTCAATTAATGTATCTTTAAGTTTCTTTTGTAAGTATTATGTGTCCCAGTGTATCTTAAGATTCCAAGCAAAATGATTACTGCATTTCCTGAAGATGTTTAGTGACAGTCTGGTAAGCAAAGCAATCTAAGCAAGAACTAGGAAATGCAGAAATGGGTTTTGTCTGGTTGCATATAATCTTTGCTCTTTTTAAACTCTGTGAGCTCTGAAATATATTTTTGGGTTACTTCAGTGTGTTTGACAAGACAGCTTGATATTTCCTTTTTTTGGAGAGATTTTCGCTATAGGGCGCGTGTGCTCGTCAGACAGACAGAGAGAGACATAGAGACAGAAAATGAGAAATCACCCCCCAAGGGGGATGGTTATGCTGCAATCCCTTCTCCTCCATTCTCCTCTCGGGATCTTGGGCATGCATGCACATGTACCCAGTGTGAGTTTAAGCCACCAGGTCGAGAACTCGAACCATGGTTGGCTACATGGGAGTTCAGGGACATAGCCATTACACTAACTGCTGGTCCCCAAAATGCTTGTTTTAATTAAATCAACCATCTTCTGTTTTTTTGGTGACCATAATCTCTCAGCTCACAGGAAACAAAGTGATAATTAATCTTCACTCAGCCTAGGTCATCAATTTGAAACTGATATAAAATTTGCATGCAATCTAGACTTTTCTGACATCAAATCTTTTTTTCCCCTGCCTTGAAAAACTTTGACATTGTAGAAATCTCATCAATTATTCACCATGAAGTTTCTCCTATAGTATTTCGACTGGCAGAAATATAAATAGTTTCAGTGCGACTCCTGTCAGCAATACACTATAGACCCTGGAAAACACAAATTAGCTCTTTTTAAAAATTATTTCAAGTTCCGTTAGTCTAAATCTGCTGAAGAGGATGATGTGTCTAAAACCAACAAATTATGAACATAACACAATGAGGACAGTGAGGATTAGCTTAATTTTTTTTAACTGCACCTAACTTTTTTCTTTGAAAGCTCAATTTCCTTATTTTACACCAGATTATCCAGTGCCTAAATGCATCTGGACTTTGCTTAAAGTTAGTTATTTTGTTGAACCATTTTAAACCTTTTTGCCAAACTCTTATTTGACCTATCTTGGGATTTTACTTAATTATTTAAGAGCTACAAGGAGGAGAAGGAATAGTGGGTGATAAAAGCTGCAACTGTCTCCATTAGAAAATAGATGAAACCTCATATTAATTTGTCTGTTGGACAGAAAGCAGTGCAACAACTTCTTTTTTTTATTTTTTATTTTTTTGGAGAGGTTTTTTTTTTTAACTATAGGGCGTGTGCACTCGCCAGACAGAGAGAGACAGAGAGATAGATAGCGAGAAATCACCCACCCCCCCAGGGGGGATGGTCACGCCACAATCCCTTCTTCTTCATTCTCCTCTCGGGATCTTGGGCATGCACGCACACGCGACCGGTGTGAGTTTAAGCCACCGGGTCCGGGACTCAAACCGCGGTCAACTATGTGGGAGTCCAGCGACATAGCCATCATGCTAACTGCTGGTCCCTAGCAGTGCAACAACTTCTGAGGTCAGTGATTTAATAATTTTATTTGGCCATGGAAAGATCATCTAATTGATTCTCATGCTTCCATGTGTCAACAATCAAAACTAAGAAGGTGAGTTGGACAAGAACTGGTAAAAGGTTAAATGTCCCTGGGCCAGCAGGTGGCATGGAGATTAAGAAGCTGGATCCCACATGCCTACTTTGCAATTCCTGTCCCAGACCCAGCATGTTTTTGGGTGCATGCATGCTCAAAATCCTGAGAGGAAAGTAGAAGAAAAGGAATTGCAGCATGGCCATCTACCCTGAGCTGATTTCTCACTTTCTCTCTCTCTCTCTGGAGATTGCATGTCCCCTATAGCCAAAACTTTAAATAAATTTAAAAAAAAATGTCCTAAAAGAACTGTATTCTTGAAAGAAATGCTTTAATCAGTATCTTCTATCAGATATATTCAGCCTCTAAAAATGGATTCTTTGCTTCAAATCTTGTCCCTTTCCCTTTCTTTCCTCAAAGAGCAGCCAAGGTAGTCTTTGGAAAATTCAAATCTAACCACAGTGCTCCCGTTTTAACTAGACTCAGTATAATTTTGGGAGTAACTGCACTCTCCTTGTTTCTGAACACATAGTTCTTCAAACTATTCCTTCTTTACATTTGTAGTCTCATCTTCTGCCCCAGCTCATAGGCTTTGCCCCATCCCTATCATATCACTTAATGTTCCCAAACGTACATTCTCCCTTGCTTTGGCACTTCTGTGTTATTAGGTCATTTTCCACAAATCTTCTCTGCCCCCTTTGACTGATTAAATCCTGATCACTTTTCATTCAATAATCTTCCAGAGATTCTGTCATGAATGATCTCTTCTAGGAAGCTTTCCAGGAAGCATCACCTTGAATCTTCCTCTGTAGTCCAGTATCACCTGGTACGATTTTTCATCAGTTTTATACTTATTAGTTTACTTATGTTCTCTTTCCACTAGTCTATGTGTTTTTTTTTAAAGAGTTTTAATTACATGTGTCACTGCATCCCAGGTGCCTAGCACTTTCCTGGGGTACATGCACTGGATCATCAGTGAATGAAAACTGGTTAAATCCATAGACGGTGACGAGTCTTGTGTTCAAACCAAGACTCTGACAATATGTCTCTGTATGACCTCGAGGACACTCTTACATACCTGAAAGCCATGGTCATTTTTTTCGAACATAACAAGAGAGATTTCTTTTCTCAGATAAGTTGTTATAACCATTAGGGCAGTGTAAAATTCCTGAACTTTCAGAAGGGGAAAAAAAAAAAAGGATCAAAAAGGTGATCGCATTTTTATTACACAGATTCTTAGTCCTGCAGCAGAAAAGATATTTGTTAAGGTTCATGACTGTGTGAGAACAGTAAGTGGAGAATAAACTGAAGTTGATGGATCCTTTCACTTCACTTTTTTTTCTGAGCTCCCTAGGAATACTTTGTTGTTAGAGATGCAAGGGGTTGTCATAGTTTTCTTTTTATGCTTTATAGTTCTATATTTCCAAGTGTTCAGTTGGTAAGACTATTTCCTTACCATAAGAACACTGACATTTTCAAATCAATACCTGCTAATCAAATTTGATTAGCTGACCCTCAAAAAATAACATCCTAACACAGAACACATTTCTACTTTTGGAACATTTTTGGCATTATCTATTTTTCATTATTTGGTACAGAGAAACTTTATTGCTTAGGGATATTCAGTTCACCTGGGAAACAAAACTTGAGAAAAAGACAGCTAGAGAAAAATGTAAAGATAAAATGGAAAATAAATGGCTTTAAAATGTGTTATAAAGTTACTTACGTGGGGAGGTCACAAAACCTATCTATCTCTCAGGTCAAATTCTCTGAAGTTTCTCTGTTTTATTAGGTTTTAAGTCCTAAGGTGAAATAACAGAAAGCTAATTCTAAAAGAAACATCAATAAAGCACCGAGTATGTATCCTTTTCTTCTTGTCAGGGTAGCTGTTGAAGACAAAATCAAGTATATCAGAAAGTTCAGAGGATTAAAAGCCAGAATAACTAGGTTCTACTTCTTTAGTAGTTTTTGCTATATGGTATATGTGCTTGCCAGAGAGAGACAGAGAGACAAAGACAGAAAGGAGAGAGAGATGGAGGAAAAAAGAAAGTGAGAAATCACCCATCGGGGGAATGTTAACCCATCTGTGTATAAGCAAGTAGTTAAGAATATTTTATCTTGTCAGTACCAGCAGGTAGTGTGGTGGCTAAGGTGCTGGACACTCCCACATGGCCGACCATGGTTCAAGTCCTGGACCTGGTGGCTTGCTTTCTCACTTTCCATCTTTCTCTGTCTCTCTCTGGTCAAATTAAAATAAATGAATGAACAAATAAAAATAAATAAATAATTTAAAGTGTTTATTAAAAAAGAATATTTTGTCATGTTTTCAGCATCACATTTTGAGCATATCAGTTAACTGAAGTTGTGAAGATAGTGAGCTGATTATATACATTGAGAATTTGTAAGCACAGCATACACTACTTCCTCAGGGAAAATGCCTCCTATATGCTATATGATTGAACAAAGAAACCAATAGGAGGGAAAAGCAAGCAGTCTCCATTGATTTCCCCTGATTCCTCATAGGCCTTACTAATGCACTTGAGGATGTAAATAATGCATACAACAGATTGCATTAGAGGTGATTGTCTTTTTACTGCACGATAAGTCAAAGTACATTATTAGTGCATTAGAGACTGAGGATCAGTTCCAGATTGCATAATCTCTTTGCCTAATGACTGCCACAGATGGGGAACTTGAGAGCCAAAGAGACTGAACAAGACTACCTTCATAGTTTGTCTCTTGAACTGCCTTCTTTTGCATCCTAAAAATAAAAATGTTGATGAAACAAAAACTTTTTTAATGCATGAATTTTTATTAAATATAGGAAGACATAAAAGGTGTTGATGATGGAATATTATATTGTCCTTTGTCTTCCTTCTAAAGCCTATGCTGGTTATTATTTTCACTCAGGCAAGGTAATTAAAAAATAAACTGATTTTTACAGCCTTTGTGAGTGTCTGAGTAATACATCTGGGGAAGGACTAGATATCTAAATCCATTCTGGTATCTTCCTGCTTAGTCATGGTAGATGTTCAATAAAGCAAGATGGTTCTTCCATATAATCATGCATTATTGATAAATAACCAAAAGTATTTTCCCCTTGATCATACCTTTATATGTGATCTACAAAATGTTCGTTGAACCATTTATGTTCCAGTAGAAGCTTCACTAGTCACATGCGTTGACCTTGTCACAACAGAGCAATTGTTCTTTTAATTTTAGGGCCACTGATACATAGATTATCTATTTCTGCAGCCTCTTGCCTCCCATGGCCTCCTGTATTATGTTCAGTATTTGGCTTTGGTGATCATGTTCGATGGTGAAGCAAATGCAGCTTCCTCTTGATGGGTACGTTGTGTTTTTTCCCCTTCCCTTCAGTAGTATCTGTTTCAAAGTGCAAAAGCTGATTAACTTCAGTTAATGATGGGATGAGTGGAATTTATAAATGGGAAGGTAATGACATAGAAACACACAGCCTCTAAACAGAAGTCATGATCATTTTGATATATAAGCAAAGGTAAGCTTTTGACTTCATAGAAACCTCACTTTTTTGCCGAGTTCAGGTGGTGCAGTGACTAAGGCACCAACCACATGGCCAACCTCAGTTCCAGTCCCAGACCTGGCAGCTTGCTTTCTCTCTCTCTCTCTCTCTCTCTCTCTCTCTCTCTTCCTTCCTCCCTACCTTCCTCCCTTTGGTGAGTGAATGTTCCCTATAGCAAATTTTAAAAATAATAATAATGATAAACATTTGGTTATCAGAAAAGTCATGACATATTTTTTCTATGCAAAAAAATGCATCATTACTTTTCTGAAAATCCAATAAAATTAAATAAATAATTCTTTAATAAAAAAAGAAACTTTTTTTTTTTACATCTACTTTAAATTCTTGCTAATACTTTAGGAGACTTCCTTTCTTGGAACATAATAGGGTTAGGACTAGTTCTAAATTTTATTAGTATACTTCTTGTTTCAGGATAGTTTCGGACTTACAGAAAAGTTGCAAAGAAATGACAGACTTCCCATCTGTCCCATGCCCAGTTTCCCCCCAGTCATTATCTTATGTTACTATGTACATTTGTCAGGACTAATGAACATATATTGATACATTATTATTTACTAAAGTGGAGTTCTGACGGTTTAAAATTAGGATGAAAAGAAAATGAATTATGTAAGATTAGTTAAATAGTTGTTTCTTAATTTTAAAATAAAGACCAATTATGCAGAAAGAACAGCAGCATGAGGCCAGCCGGTAGCGTGGTGGTTAAGGTGGCTCGATCACACATAGCTAACTCATGGTTCCAGTCCTGGATCTGGTGGCTTTGAAACATACTGGGCACATGTGCATGTATGCTCAAAATCCTGAGAAGAGAAGGGATTACAGTGTGGCCATCCCCCTGAAAGTGGTTTATCACTTTCTCTCTTACTCTCTCTCTTACACCCCCGCCCCCGTTTCTTTCCAGTGAGCTCATATGCCGTATAGCAAAATTAAAAAAAAAAGAATAGCAGCATGCAGCTATATGTATCATAAATATCATTCCATATTAACTTTAGTAAAAACAATTTTAAAATTAAGTGTGGATAACTAGATAGAAGTGTATAACAAAAACATTTATAGATGATCTTGTATTATAATTCATTTTGATGTTATGTTTAATAGACTTAAAAGAATCATGTCTAAAATAAATTCTTCAAGTATGACCATGTATTTAGAAAGTATTTTCCAGAAAGATATCTTCCTTTTTTTTTTTTTTTTGGAGAAGTTTTTCACTATAGGGCGCATGTGCTCGCCAGAAAGACAGAGAGACAGAAAGCGAGAAATCACCCCCCAGGGGGATGGCCATGCTGCAATTACTTTTCCTCCATTCTCTTCTTGGAATCTTGGGCACGCACGCAAACGTGCCCTGGGTGAGTTTAGCCACCGGGTCCGGGACTTGAACCGCGGTCAACTATGTGGGAGTCCAGCGACATAGCCATTACACTAACTGCTGGTCCCGAGATATCTTCCCTTTTGACCTTTGCAAAATTTAAGTACCACATTGCAAGGTCAGTTGTCTCATTATAAAAACTGTTATTACAGTCAGATGTGCCTTGTGCCAGGTGTCTCACCACGTTTGATCTAGTCAATAGCCCTGCGAAGTAGGTTCCTTTTTTTTTTTTTTTTTAGAGAGATTTTCACTGTAGGGCGCGTGCGCTCGCCAGACAGACAGAGAGAGACATAGAGACAGAAAGCGAGAAATCACCCCCCAGGGGGGATGGTCACGCCGCAATCCCTTCTCCTCTATTCTCCTCTCGGGATCTTGGGCACGCACACACACGCGCCCGGTGTGAGTTTTAAGCCACCGGGTCCGGGACACGAACCGCGGTCGACTACGTGGGAATCCAGCGACATAGCCATTACGCTAACTGCTGGTTCCTGAAGTAGGTTACTTTTTAAATAGCGTCAACAGTAGGTTTATCAGGGAAGTGATGTTGACTGGTTTAATACCAAAGAATGTAATAAAATGTGAAAAAGATGTATGTATGTCATATGCTTTCATCTTTTATAAGGAGCTGTTTGAGGTGGCTATTTATAAAGAGGCTAAAAGATCAAAATTATAGGACCAGCAGTTAGTGTAATGACTATGTCACTGACCTCCCATGTTGTCGACCATGGTTCGAGTCCCGGACCTGGTGGCTTAAACTCACGCCAGGCGCATGTGCGTGTGTGTCCAAGAACCCGAGAGGAGAATAGAAGAGAGGTGATTGCGGTGTGGCCATCCTCCCTGGGGGGTGATTTCTCGCTTTCTGTCTGTCTCTGTCTTTCTGGTGAGCGCATGAGCCCTATAGCAAAAACCTCTCCAAAAATAAAAAGATCAAAATTATGTCGAACTTGAGCCAGGTAGATGGCACGGTGGTTAAAGTAGCTGGATCACACATAGCTGACTGCATGTTCAAGTCTTGGAGCCAGCAGCTTGAAAAAAACACACCAGACGCTTGTATGTATATGTCCCACATCCCCATAAGAGGAAGGAATGGAGAGGGGATTTCAATGTGACTGTGCCCGTGGGAGGGGCGGCGATTTCTCTCTTTCTCTCTCTGGCAAGCCTACCCATCTTATGGTAAAATTTAAAAAATTTGTATTTCAAACTGCAGGATCCATATTAGACATTTAAAAGTGAATTATAGTATTTCATTAGCCAAATTGTGAAGTTCTGTTAGCCAAGAATTGAGTGTAGAGAGTAGCAGAAAAATTTCCTGTTGGGGTAGAAATCTGTTATAAAGTAGAGGCTTAGGCTATCTGGGACTTCCTGGGTTCCTGACACTGAATCCTCTTCCTGATTAGAGAGTGACAAATAAGTACATTAGAGGGCATCATCCAGAAGTGTATCAGCCCTCTTGATTACTGTCATTTCTCTGTCTGATTGTCATAGCTGGAGTTTCTAGAATTTGGGTGCCTTTGCCTGTTTTGAAAGTGTAGAAAACAATCCAGGTTTATCAAGTTTATTTTTAAATGTAAACATTATACTTTGTGGAAAAACTTTAGAAGATTTTTGTCCTAGAACTGTTTATTAAGTGAAAAGTAAGTTTCTAAAGCAAAGGATAAACAGTTTAGTACTAAATGAGAGTTTCAGTTTTCTAATTGTTTTTGGATTCAGATAGGCAACTTGAGAGTTCATATTTCAACCTAAAGAAACATCATAATTGTTTTGTGTGTGTGTGTGTTTTGTTTCGTTTTGTCTTTTGGTCTGCTGGTATAACTTCATTATTGAAACTGAAAAAAGCACGTGTCGTTGCAACTTGTGTTTTCTGTGACAGATGATGGATTCATAATTTTGAAGATGTCTTCTTTTACTTCCAAATAGTATTTAAAGAATGAGGATGATTTGGAAAGAATGCCCCTAAATAGTCATCTCAGCCACTGTGTTGACTTCTCCAAAGGTAACATAAGTGAGGGGCAGGGCTGGCCCGGAGTGCAGTGGTTAAACGCTGTGCAGTGGGGACAGAGCCAGGTCACACGTGGCTGGTGATGCTTCAAGTCCAAGCCCCAGAGGCCTGAAAAACATGCCAGTTTTGTGTGTGCACATGTTCAGAATCTTAGCAGGACAGAAAAAATGGAGAACAAAAGAATTATGATGTGGTCATTCACCAGTGGGGAATGTCTCCCCTCTCTTTCTCTGGCTAGTGAGTGCACCTTCTGGCAATAAATAAACTGACTGATTAAATAAGTGAGGGGCACCCAAATAATGGCTGGGCATCTATGGAACATATCATAATTTGCTTCTTCTACACCATCTCATTTTATTGATAAAGATGAAGATACTTGACAAAGTATTATAGAAATGAACTACCTTCTATTAGCAAGCAGTTCTGCTCCTGGGTAGCTGCTTCCTGATAAATTAAGACCAATTAGTAAGATTACATTGCTCAAGGTCACGTAAGAGAATCAAGGGCATAATTTTTCAAGAACAAAAGCCATTATTAATTTTATTGTTTTCATCATAATCTCATGTACCTATGAAGCATCAGGAAATAATTTTGTATTCTTTTTATGTGTCAGCATTTTTTTGCTTGGTTGGTTCCTTTTTTATGTGAGAAGGAAGTAGCAGTGGTGAAAACAACAATAAAATAGACAAAACCCCCTCATCTCACTTAGGTGCTAGTTGTAAAAGCTAGACAATAGACAAAATAAATAAGGAATCTGTATTCCATGTTAGGTAGTGGTACATGCCACAGAGAAGTAAAAAGGGCTAGAATTTGGGGGTAGGGGTTAAGATTATAGTCTTTAATAAACCCAGGGAGGCTTCAGTGAAGAGGCACAGTGGATGAAGGTTTCAAGGTGTTGAAGGAGGGAGCCGTGCAGATATGAGGACAAGAGCATCCAGGTGAGTGTGAGCTCATATAGAGTTCCTGAGAACAGCCTGTGCTTGGAAGTTAAAATCATGGCACCTTGGGAACCAGCAGTTAGCGTAATGGCTATGTCACTGGACTCCCACGTAGTTGACCGCGGTTCGCGTCCCCCACCCGGTGGCTTAGAACTCAAGCTAGACGCGTGTGCACGCGTGCCCAAGATCCCAAGAGGAGAACAGAGGAGAAGGGATTGTGGCATGACCATCCCCCCTGGGGGGTGATTTCTCGCTTTCTGTCTCTATGTCTCTCTTTTCTGTCTGGCGAGCGCACGTACCCTATAGCAAAAAAAACCTCTCCAAAAAAAAAAAAAAAAAAACATGGGAACTTCTCACACATGGCAGGAGTGCAGAGCACATTCCTCTAAATCAAGAATATAAGCCTTCATGATATTTAAGGTGTTTTCTATCAATGATACTCTTTCTTTACCCACAGGTAAAATACTTGAATTTGACTTGAATATTAAAATATGGTTTACATACTGAAAATAGATGATTTGC